TTGAGAGCCGAGTGGTATAAGAATGAGACTGACTAGATGCACGGGCTCTGCAGTGGCCACTGACTGACTGCTCGACTTTGCTCCAGCCCTCTTGAGCAAGTCCAGTCGCTCTGAGTGAAGATAATACGTTGGCCCCTTTTTGAATTCAGCCCACAGGTTGAATCCTCTCCCCCGTGCGACACACAGAAGTGCTGTAGATTTGTGCCAGTTAGGAAGCGAGGGAGAGACAGTGAGAAACCCACATCATTTAAAATGATAGGAGGGTGAGGCGATGGTAGGGAACGTTAAAAGAAACAAGCTTCCCCGCCAGATTAGCTGAATGGGAGTCATTGCCAGCCATTTGTCTAGCCTTCAGGTAAACCCGGGTTTTCAAACTGATCCCTGTAAAGGACACAAAATGGAAGGTCTCTGCGATCCCCTATTTTTACTTGTTATTTCGATTGGTGTGTTACTTAAATACATATACACAGGATACTAGATGCTACTGGTAGCTCTTATTCAACCATTAAATCAAAATAAATGTCTCAAGTAAGTCAAAGCAAATATTAAAATTCAAATGCATTTAATAGGCTCTTTAATATTTTCCTAAAATGGAATCGCAACTCGCAGTGTGAAGATCAAACAAAACTCAAACTTGTCACCACCAAGTTGATTCTGACTCCTACCACCCCTATAGGACAGGGTAAAACGGCCCCTGTGGGTTTCCAAGTCTGTAACTCTTTACAGGAGTAGAAAGCCTTGTCTTTTCTCCTGTCAACATGAAGATAGTGACCATTAGTGGCCTGTATTTTGACCTTAATAACTCCCACTACTTTCTAGTCCATTCCCATTCACAGTGACACTATAATACAGGGTAGAACTGCTTCGTGGAGTTTCTCAGAAGATAAATCTATGGAGTAGACCACCTCTCTTCCTCCCGTTGAGTAACAGGTTTGAACTGACGACTTTGTGGTTAGTAGCCCACCACTTACCTTACTATGCCATCAGGTCCCCTTTTGACTTTAGCCAGCCTAAATTCATTTGCTGTGGGATGTATGAGGTTACCACCACCTTTCAGTCAATTGCAAATCCTTAGTTCGGGCTTCATTTAACTTTAATTGGTATGAACACAAGTAAGGCAGACTGTCCGCCAGCAGTGAGTTTGCAAATGCAGACTACAGTCTTGGTGCAGTTCTGGATTATGAAGGGCTATCCAGGTTAACTGAGAGTATATTCCTCAACCCCAGTAGAGTAGTAGGTTTGTGCTGCCCTTAGGATAGGACAGCAAATTTTACTACAGAGAACACAGACTTTGAAGTTAGATAGTGCTAGGTTTAAATATATTAGGCCTTATCTCAACCTGTGGATAATAATAATGGACTTCAACCAGTGGGTCCAAATAATCGCTCTATAACAGGGGTCCTCAAACTTTTAAAACGGGGCCAGTTCACTGTCCCTCAGACCCGTTGGAGGGCCAGACTATAGTTAAAACAAAAAAAAAACTATGAACAAATTCCAATGCACACTGCACATATCTTATTTTGAAGTAAAAAACAAAACGGGGCAAAAACACCCGGCGACCTGGATACATATCCTCTGCGGGCCACAGTTTGAGAACCCCTGCTCTATAGCATGCTACTGGTGACCTTGCATCGGTGAATTCTCAGAGCCTCTTTTTCTCACATGAAACCAGGATTGTGTCACGTGCGTTGCAGAAAAGATGGTGGGTTGATTGCTTACTTTCATCTCAGTTCCCTCTAAAAGGACAGTGAAAGGATTAAAATAAAACTAAACTGAACTGAAAAGAACAGGGAGATAAATGATTGGCAGAAGTCTGATGGCCAAGGACTAACGCCATACAAATTCCTTGAGCCGCTGGCCTTTGTGTGATTCAGTGCTATGGGATTGTCCAGCTCTCACACAGAGGAGGCAATGGAAAATACCATGGTTGGATCAATCACACCTTAGTCCTCCAAGTGGCATCTTTACTCTTTCATACTTTAAAGAGGTCTCTGCAGCAGCATTGCCCAGCACAATATGATGTTTGATTTCTTGACTGCTGCTTCCATGAGTGTTGATTGGGGATCCAAGCAGGATGAAATCTTTCCCCTGTGACCACGGCCTTTCCCAGATTTCAGATATTGGTAGTATCATAGACCAGGGAACTAATAAGGATGACTTAACGGTCTGAGTAAGAAATTGATCCCCGCAGCGCTCTGATGGGGAACTCCAAGCCATGGGGAACCTCCCTTCTTCCATCTGGGGACAGGATTAAAGTACCGCTCTCTTTAGGACTGGGGACACTAGACCTATTGCAGGGGTGGGAGAGCCCTGGTGGTATAGTAGATTTTACATAATGGTTTGCTAACCAGAAGGTCCTTGGGAGAAGAAAAACAATTTCTGCTCCCATACAGGTTTGCAGCCTCAGAAACCCCCACAGGCAGTTCTACTCTGTCCTGTAGGTCGCTGTGGGTCAGAATTGACTCGATGGTTGTGCATTTGAGTTTAGAGGGGTGAAACCAGGTTAAAAATAAGAATGAAGAAAAAGCTCCCAACCTGAATAATGAGGCACCACCCTAAGGGGTTTCTCCCCTACTTGGTGTCTGGGCTGGTTCAAGGGGTTATTACCTTCTCGAATGTCTGGCCAGCCCAAGAGAAAGAGCCAGGGGTTCCCCAAGCAAGAGCCTCTGTCCTCTCCTTGGAAGATAAAAACAGATCATTTTATAATAAAGTAATAGATTTCGACTCTTTTTCTACTCGGGGCTTCCACTAAGACTTTCAATACTTTACTCTTACTGGACAAGGCCATTGAGTATTTGAAGAAAACAAAGGATAAAACGGGGGCCGGCAACGGCCACTTGAAGGAAATGCCCCATGGAGGGGAAGAGAGCAAAACAAAGGCTAGGATCCAATTAGTATTTTGATCTAGGTGTGTGGATTTGAGTTTCTGGGCTGCTGAAGGAAGGGAACAAAATGTGATCGGGCAGTGATGGAAGTGGGCACTCGGACCAAAGGGAAAGAGCTCATCAAGCCTGAGGCATCGGAAGACTTGTTGAAGGATGCTGCCCGTGATGAGTTAATTCCTGCAAGTGGGGGAGGAAGGGAGATGGTAGCCAGTTCATGAGTAAAAAACCTGCAGTCAGGAAATAGCACACCTAGAGATACTAGCGTGTAAGGGTCCAAGAGGAAGGAAAGAAAGGAAAAACATACGGACAGAGGGACCAGGAGACAGGTCAGCGCTTATCATCTGAAGGAGCAGAGACTGTCCTCTGAGGGGTAAGGAGCTGGGGAGGCTTTTCATCCAGGGGTGACATGGTCCAGTTTATGCTTGAGGTAAATATGGCTGATCGATTAGGAATCTGGGTGTCAGTCCTGCCCAGAGGACAAAGGCTGGCACTGTCCAGAACCAGACTTGGCCACCCAATATGGCACTTCCTAACTGATTGCTCCCTTCTGTCACTTGCTAAATGGTCTTTGCATTGTGTGTTTACCCCTTTCCCAGTGATAAAAATAAGGACATACAACCTAGTGGGGAGTTTAACCTTGCTTATTATGCTCACAAAGAACCAGAGTGTTACGATAGTTTTGTTCTTTTAATTTAACAAATGCAACTTCCTAAGTAAAGAAAAGCATAAAGTGGGAGAAAAAAAGTATTCCTTCCTCTAAGTCCCCTTATATTAACTGATGTTAATTCTTTTTTTTCCTTTAAAAAAAATTTTAATCATTTTTAACGAGTTCTTACATATAGAATAACCCATAATTCAATCACATCAAGCAGTATTGTACAATTGCTACCAAAAGATGTTAATTCTTTAGGAAGTCTCCTAGGAATTATATATACATCTTTTCAAAATTTTATATAAATTGAGATCACACTGTCCTTTGCATTTTTCACGTAGTGTGTGAAAATCTATTCATTTAATAGGTGAAACCACCTTTTAGACCTTAAAAAAAAAGCCCTGGTGGCATAGTGGTTACATGTTGGGCTGCTCACTGCCAGGTCAGCAGTTTGAAACCACCAGTCACTGTGGGAGAAAGAGTTAGTTTCAGAACTTCTCCCAGGCAGATCTGCCCTGTCCCATAGGGTCACTGTGTGTCAGCATCGACTTGATTGCATTGCTGTCTTTTTCGATCTTATGATGTACATAAAATATACCTTATTAAAGTTATTGCAAGGAGCCCCATTTTGTGAGCGCCCCTAATTTATGAAACTAAGTCTTTCATT